AAAAAAAAAAAAAAGAAAGTCCTTATACATATTGAGTGAGAAAAGCAGAATCAAAATTTAAACCACAATGAGATCTTTTTAAAATTTTTAAAATTTTTTTAAATTTTATTTTTGTTTATTTATTTATTATTTCAGGTTAATTTGAGGTACAAAGAAATAGGTTACAATGTTTACATTTCTTAGGTAGAGTCCCTCTTATAATTGTGTCCAGCTGCCAAGAGGAGCCCCATACACCCCCATACACCCTAACATTGTGCACCCATTAAGTGGGAGCACACCCACTTCCCCTCCCACTTCCTCTTGCCACCCACCACCTACCCCTCCCCCCACCTTGAATTGATCTGAGTTTTTCTCTTGTGTGGGCACGTATTAGATCCTCTACTGGCTTCGTTTTAGTATGGAATACATTGGATACTTGCTTCTCCATTCTTGTGATACTTTACTAAGAAGAACATGTTTCAACGTCATCTAGGTTAATACAAAAAATGTTAAGTCTTCATCTTTTTTATGGCCACATAGCACAGTTTGTTAATCCATTCCTGGGTTGGTGGGTATTTAGGTTGTTTCCACATTTTGGGGATTATAAATTGAGCTGCGATAAACAATCTAGTGCAAATGTCCTTATGATGAAATGATTTTTTTTCCTTCTGGGTAGATGCCTAGTAATCGGATTGCAGGATCAAATGGGAGGTCTACTTTGAGTTTTTTTTGTTTTGGTTTGGTTTTTTTGGCAGTTTTTTGGCCAAGGCTGGATTTGAACCTGCCACTTCCAGCACATAGGGTCGGGCCCTACTCCTTTGAGCCACAGGCACCGCCCCTAATTTGAGTTCTTTGAGGAGTCTCCACACTTCTTTCCAAAGAGATTGTATTAGTTTGCAGTCCAACAGTGTAAAAGTGTTCCTTTCTCTTCACCGGAGTAAGATCTTAATTATGTAAAGTATATGCTTAGGCAAAATATCTGGAAGGAAATCAATCAGTGGTTGTCCGTGATTGAAAAATAATTTTTTTTCTTTTTTCTTTTTCTCCATATTTCATTCCATTTTTTTCTTACTTTTGTTTTGTTTTGTTTTTTGGAGACAGAGTCTCACTAGGTTGCCCTGGGTAGAGTGCCATGACGTCACAGTTCACAGCAACCTCAAACTCTTAGGCTTAAATGATTCTTTTGCCTTGCCTCAGCCTCCCAAGCAGTGGGGACTACAGGCGCCAGCCACAACTCCTGGCTATGTTTTGGTTGCAGTTGTTTAGCTGGCCTGGGCTGGGTTCTAACCTGCCACCCTCGGTGTATGTGGCTTGCATGGTAACCACTGTGCTATGGGCACCAAGTCGTATTTTCAGGGTTTTTTTTTAGACTTTTTCTTTCTTTCTTTCTTT